ATTAATTGCTTCAGTAGATGAGAAAAACTGTGCCTTAAGTTTGCTTTGTCTTTTTTTAGGCTCGAAGGTTACTTGTGTTTTCTTTGTAAACAAGTTCCGGAAGAGCAACACATTCTGAAACGTAGGAAAGAATTAGCTGTCATTTCTGTTGGTCTTAGAAGAAATTAGATGTGATTTGGTTACAAGTTCAGCTGTTAAGATTCCCCAGGAGAACAAAAGTACTTTTTGTAGAGGTTACTTCATAGGTTGATAGGGCTCAGTCTTACAATTTTTCCCTTCTAACTTAAAAACAAAATGCTGAATGTTCCAAAATCTGATTTCTTTAATATCTGTATAGTAACTCTAATATATCATATCCCCAGTGATTCAGTTAGGTACAGGGATAATAGCTGATAATCTCATTACAGAGTCACTATGAAAATAAAAATCCCCAAAGGTCTATGTTCAAAGTTCTAGGGATTTTCAAAAATCACACCCGAAGTTCCGAAAAGGAACTACACTAAACATGTTCACATCCATCTTCAGGCCGGCCACAAATGTGGAAGACAGTATGCCTTATACATTTCATCATGCATTTATAGCAACTTTTGTTTCTGGATCTCCAAACTATACTAAACAAGTATGTTCTTGACATGGGCTCGCGATCCAGGCAGGCTCGGTGCTGGGGCGACCTGGACCAGGAGGAAGAGTGAGGAGCCAAGAACAAGGAGGGGCTCCCGCACCCCCCAAGTGATTTCCACACAGAAAGGATATTGGCCACCCAAGTGACCTGTGGAGACATGGCTGGAGTACCCTCCAGGCCCAGGCCTGAAGGGAATTAAAAAGATGCCCTCATGAGGACTGCGCCTGTAAGCTGCATGGAGCTTCATTCAAGGATTTTCTGAGCCTGATGGATCTGCAATGATACTCAGCCACCTGGGGAATAACACTGGTGGAAGCATTCTCTGGAATTACACACACCAGCACATTTCTCGATGCTAAAAGTGGTTTTAAGGAGAGCTTTGGCTGAGTGCCTCATGGACTCCTGCAGCCTGGATGCCCGTGGGAGAATGGAGGACCGCAGCTTCCTGCAGGGGCTGAGCCCTCTGTCCTTGTCTCAGACAGGAATGTTTTTGGTTGGGTCTCTGCCAGCTCCGTTTGGGTGCTCCCTCTGAAACTCGTGAAGTATTATACTTCACAAAATTGGTGCTGAGGATCACAAAATAGACATTGATTTGTGGAACACCCACCACTGCACCTGGTACAGAGCAGACATTCAGCACATGAACGGGGAGCACTCCTTGTCCTCCAGGAAAGAGATTTCCAACAGGGGACACCCCACCTGTGTCGAGGCGGTGGGTGCTGTGCTGGGCTCCAGGATGAAATGGGATGGGGATCGCAGTCCAGCCCTCAGAGGCTGTTTGGAAGGAGCCCATGCCCTTGGCCACTAGGCCACCTTGTCTGGAGCCGAGAAGCAACTTCTAGGGCCTTCTTGGCCCCTGGCGACTGTGTGACCTTGGGCAGATTATCTCCCTTTTTTGGGTCATTGGTAGGGAAATCATTTAATTTCTCTTCTAAGCTGGGACACTTGAGAGTGAAAGGGGCACTGTAGCACTCTGGGACAACCAGCGTAAACCAGGACGTTGCTGGGCGACCCAGGCCGTGACCCCTGGACTCATCAGTTACATGGTGGGCAGTCCCGCTACTGCTGACCCTGCTGCTACTGGTACTGCTGGTGCTGGTGTTACTGCAGCTGCTACTTCATGTCCGGGTCCAAGTCTGCTCCTTCAGTTTCCCCAGTGCATTTGCACGGGCAGTTTGCATTTCTGTTTATAGCGTACAAGCTCATCATCTCCCAAGTATGCCTTCAGCTGCTTGGAAAAACCCGTTTCTCTTTGAGCCCTGTTATCCCAGACTGCAGCTAGAGCAGACCCTACCTCTTTATTTTTTTAATGGACGGGCTCCTGTGGTGATTGACAGCACACACTGTAGTTCTAGGGGCCTGGGGGACTCCACGCTGCCCTCCAACCTATGCAGACACCCCAGCCAGCATTCAGTAATGAGGCAGTGCCGTAGACCTCAACAGGGGTGCCCAGGCCCCCTGGAGGTCTGCAGAGTCACTGTGAGAGAAGGGCTGTGACTCACTCTCCAGGACAAGCCTGGAGACCAGCGGTTCTCAATGAACAGCAGTAGGTTGCTCGACAGCTGGTGTTTGTGAACGTGTGCCCATTTAACCTGTCACCCTTTTACATATGAAGAAACTGAGGTTCAGAGAGGTCCAGAAAGCGGCCAAGGTTATCTAGGCAGAAAGTGGAGAAGCTGGTGTTTGCGCTCCAATCCGTTAGCCTTCCACAACCCTACTCCTGTTTCGCCAGTGTTTCTCAAAGTGTGCCAATGCAGCATGCAAGATTTTAGGGTACAGATGGTCAAGTTTTAAAAAAAAAAGCTTTATATTTACTTCAGCTTGAATTAGAAAAAGAACACAATTGGCACACAAGACCTGTGATTTTGCAGATATTATTGTTTAGGATGTAAAGTGTATATGTAAGAAAAGGTCACCTTTGTGAAAATATTAAGGTAATAATGGACTTGGCCCTCCTGAAAAAGACAAGCTCCAAGTGCAGGGCCCACCTTTGATTTGTAGTACTTTGGCTGTGTGGCTCTAGCCACATCAGTGGAGGCAGAGTGTCTCTAAGTAGCCATGTTCCGCTTCATGTACACTGTGCCATTTACTCCACCGGGATCCTCCCTAAATCTGGAATATTCATGAGGAAGTGACCTCACAGCTCAGTTTGAAGCCAGATTGAACAGAGCATCATTTTAATCCTATAATTCTGCTTGAACTGACTGTGGCTACTGATCTGGGCTCTGCCGATTCTATTGTTATTTATTGAGTACTCCAAAGTTTTTCAATCAACCCCTGTATTACTGAGACTGAATTATGAAATAGTAAACATTCCCACTATGCAATTAAAAAAAAGTATACTCTTAGTTGCCAAACACTTTCCATTTAGTCTGAGTTGTTGGTCTTTCAAATCCTCTTTAAAAAATATGACATTTATAAATGGTACTCACTAGTCAATTTGTGGATATTTTCTTTAAGGTGCACAAAGGCAAATGAGAGCACATTATTTCTGTGCTTCTCAAACTAAGATACATATAAGGAGCATGTGGTTAACAAAGATAACATGATGCATCTTCCTGGAGAATCTAATATATTACAATACGTAGAAGGGGGAAAAGATTTTTCAGTACATTCAATTATGGAATTAGAATGCACAGTTAATATTAGCATTTATGATAAAACACAGAATTAAACCATCTCAACGTCATGACTGAAGAATTTTGAGAAGTTTTGTCAGCAAAAAGTTCTGTGAAAAATGCAAACCAGTATTCAAACGAATGTCATTACCATGATTAAGTTTCAGGATCCCTCAGTCTCCAGGAAGCCGACCAGTCTCAGGACTCATCCACGCAGTCTCATTTCCTCAGACCTATCTGATAAGTGAAATTAATTGTGTAGACTAAGGAAGGTGTGTTAATAATAACACTATGAATTCTTGCAAAGAAAGTGGATCCTTAGAGGTTTCTTGAAAAGGGCTTTCTCGAACCCAAAGCCTCAGCTCAAAAGGCAGAATTCTGAGCTCTAAGGATGACCTTATGAAGGACTGTCACATACGGGCTCTCAAATCTCCTCAAATCAAATCACGACGAAGCTCCCTATACACAGCTGGGCCTAGTTAGCATAACCAGGGGCTCCTGTGACTTCTTTTACTCTGATTTTCTACTGATCCTGTTAGTTTGATAAAATATTCCAAGTGTCCTGCTTACTGCTCTCTTATCTATTTTAAAGCTATTTTATTCCTTCAGTGAATTACACCAATATTAGTAACACAGATTCTCTTCTGTGAACAAAGCCCACATCTATTTATTTTATTAGCAGGATGCTAACAGGCCTGGAGCAAAGAAATTACAATTCCATTCTCATTTCCTTTTATAATTCAACCTAAGATGTCTTAAACATGCCTGCATTCCTCTCTGTGCCTAGCAGGACCTGGTCAGTAAATTGCAATAACCTTTCAGTTTTCATTGAAATAAATTATTACTCAATTTCAGCTGAAACTAGTTATTTGTATCTCTTATCTCACTTCCCTCTAAAGGGTTTTCCCAAGGCAGCAACGTTACAGTTGACTCACACTGGATCTGTTCAGCATACTTCTGAAACTCAGAATTTCTACAACTCGACAACAGTAGCCAACACTCAAAGAGGACTTATTCGGAGCCAGGCCCTGTTCTAAGTCCACATAAATTAAAATCCAGATATTAACTCATTTAGTCCTCACAAAAACTCTCTGAGGCAGGTATTACTCCTGTTTTACAGATAGGTTAAGTAACTTGCCATGGCCATACAACAGCCCATGCTCCTCTATAGGGCCTTTCTCAGGTTGTTTAATGTCAGTCCATTGTTTATATGACTGTCACAAATTATATGTTTGCATACACTCTCAGTATTAGTTCTCACAGAAAAATAAGCTATACAGAAGCAAATGACATACTTATATCAAATAGCTTATGAAAGAGAAAAACTACTGACGTATCTATACAGTACTAATAAAGGATCAAAATGACAGATAAAATTTTAACCTTATCTCTTCTAATCGCAATGGTTTGGGAACTGAAATCTGTTTTTCTGGAACAGGGATGGCACCCTTTCCATGACTATGAAGGAACTCTCCCTGTTGTCAGACGGAATAAAAGTGAAGTGCAAACCCTTTCCCTGGGGACATTTTAACCTTACATACTCAGATAGCCAATTGGAATTGCTGCCTGCCCAAAGATTGTTGGTATAGCACGCCATATTTAAGGCTTTAGACCATTCTCCTTCAGTTCTCTGCTTTCACAGTAAAATACTTCAAGCATAATCTTTGCTGAGTTCTAAACATTTCGGCTGATGGAAAAATCATGGAAATGGAAACTTAAGCCCAACATATTCCAATTTGGAAACTGAAGTTCAGAGAAAGTCATAAAAATTCAATGTAAGATTTATTGATTGCCTATAGTGTGCATGGTCCTCTATTAGACACAATGAAATTCAGGCACAAAACAGACACAAGATCCCCGGCCTTAGGTACCTTATGATCTAAATAGTATAATACAGAGTAAAAACAGTAGCCAGACAAGTTATATGTCAATGCTCATTTACTAGAGTCGACATTAAAGAGCAGTAATTTCAGTAATCCAAAATGGCATCAAATCCTAAAATCATTTATAAAATGTATTGGCGTTGAAATCCACAGCACTTCAAACAAGATAATTAAGTTCCACTGCAGATAGTGTCCAAGATGCAAATACACTGAAACCCTTAGGAGCATTAATGACTTTTGTTATTTTGGATCTTTTGTTTTTTTCTTATTATTGTTCTAAGCCTCCGCAATACCAGTTTATCAGACAGAAGCATGTCATCTTGTTGTTCCAGATAATCCAGTAAATTTTCAGTCCATTCAAGTGCAGCTTTATGGCTAATATGCTTCTCTGGATTCAGTTCTGTTTTTCTAGTCTTATTGGGAAGCTTTTGTTCAGCAGGCCTGGCCTGATCCTCTGCACCTTCACTGTCCGTGAGCACCTGACAGCTTGAGTCATTGCTCCGAGAGTCAAACCACTGATCAATATTCTCAATATGGACGTGTTCACCGTCTTCTGTATTCTGCAAAACCGTTGCTAAGTTAGCTGCTAAAATGGCTCCTTCATCAATGTTCATGCCTGAATTCTCTTCATTGCTAGGGAAAAGTTTTTTCCATGCTTTTGTTATGGTACTTGATTTTACCATGTTCCAAGCTCTTGATACTTCATAAATTGCATCCAACACTGTTAAGTTCTTCCAAAACATTTTTGGGTCAATTCCTTCATCCATGTATTTCTGGAGAAGTCCTGCTCGGTAGTATCTTTTTACTGTGGCTAGAACTCCCTGGCTCATAGGTTGAATAAGACTTGTGACATTCGGTGGCAAGTACTTCACAATTATTCTGCCATCATCTGAACTCAACAATTCTTCATTTGGATGTGCTGGAGGGAAATCCAAAAGCAGCACTGCTTTTTCTAGAATCCCCTTGGATTTCAAATGCTTCTGCACCTGTGGCACAAAGTGTTTTTCAAACCACTGTCTGAAAACAGAATATTCTATCCACGCACTTTTTTGACTGAAATAAGTGACAGGAAGGTTTGAAAGGTCAGCTCCTTTGAATGCACGGGGTTTTTTTGCTTTTCCCACAACACAAAGATTAAGTTTGTGTAAACCTGTGGCATTCGCACAGCACATAATAATGATTCTCTCTCTGCTTGACCTATAACCAGAAGTACCCGGCTCAGTTTCGAGAGCTACTGTCCTTGATGGTAGACATTTCCAGAACAATCCAGTTTGATCAGCACCATAAATTTGCTCTGGTTGTAGATTCTCCTTCTCAACAAATTCCTGAAAGTTACCACAAAATTCAGTGGCAGCAGTCTCGTCCCCTTTCAATTTTGTTCCTTTACCAGCAGCCTTTGGAATACCATGGCGCTGCTTAAATCGAGTTAGCCAGCCAGATGATGCATTAAAATCACCTTCCATCCCCAATGCATCAAAAAAGAATTTGGCCTGTTTTGCGCAAATTGTTCCGGACACTGGAATCCCATCTGTTTTCTGTTGGTTAAACCACTCTATCATAACTCTATCCAGTTCCTCATATGTCGACGACTTCATAGATTTACGTTTGGATACCTCACTGGTAGGATCCGAACTGTTTGCATAGTTTATTATCCTTTCTTTGTTCTTTTTAATATCACGAACCGTGGATTCCCCAATTCCATACACCACCGAGAGTTTTTTGAAAGAGATACCTTCCTCAAGTTTCTTAATAATGTCAAGCTTGTCCTTAATTGTCAACACCACACGCTTACGTTTCCCCAACATTGTAACTTTCTAATATTTCAGGCGATTACTAGAACAAGATATTTAACAACTTAGATTTGAACACAATGAGACTAGAAAACTGGGTTTTAAGATCTCTCCCCTGTTCCCCTAGGACTTAGATGGATAGTGTGCTGGCCAATTTCCAGGTGAGGCCTAAGTGACTCTCTTCACTTTGCCATTTTAAAACAAAGTTCCTACAGCAAAGACTAGCTCCAACTAACCCTATCTTCTCTCTTTCTTCCTCCTCACTTAGTTTAAGGTCTTTTCATGAACTGCAGTCTCAATGGAGATTGCAACCAACACTGAACCAGCAAGGTCTCTAAAATGGTCCTAATGCATACTCAATTTCTTGCCAACATCACAAGTGAGGTTCTTTGCTAAAGGAACTAGGACCCAGGTGGGAGTATTTTGGGAAATGTGCTAGGGAATAAATAAAGTCAAGAGAGGACTTGCAGATTTGATATACAGGAAATATAATGGGAAAACTCACTCCCTGACTGTCGTCTTTGTCAGGCAGTGCATGGTATGGAATGCTGCCTCTTCTAGGCAAGGGCTGCTACAGGTTACAATGCAAGTGGTTATGGAAATTACAGGCAAGCAAGGTAAGACGAGCTAGACAGAAGTGAACGGTGCAAATAAGGTGAGAGCGGACAGGCAGAAAACTTTGTACTTTAACACACAAACTATGCCTAACGTATTTGGCAACTGGAAAGGAAAAAAGGTGGACAGGAGCTGGTGTCACGTGATTAAAGAAAGCGTTAAAAAACTTCATTGGTGGAAATCAGGGCCCATGGTAGAAGGTATGGGGTGGAAGGCTCAGTGAAGATGTTACAACAATCCTGGTGAAAGATGATCCTCGCTGGGCCAACAGAAGTAGTTCCTGTGGGGGGCTGTATAGGCACTCGGACCCTCCGAAACCTAAAGGAAAATACCAAAAACATTTTTTTTTCAATATCAGGGTCTGTGGCATTACCCATATCTATCCTGCAACTATGTTGAGAAAATTAACGCCTCCTATCAATGTCATGGCTAAATACGACAATAATGCTTTTAAGCGTCATCCGGAGTCACAGAGAGCGGGACCTGAATTGCCTACCTCCTGAAATTAAGAGGTCAGAGAGAAGCCGTGTTAGCGAGGGCCTCTCCCCGCAGGGCGAGCTCCGGAGCGCGGGACGTCCTTGCTCACGCGGAGGGAGCCCGGGTTCCTCCGTGGACTCCAGCGACCAGGGTGTCACCGCCGCAGCCCGCCAGCCACCGAGCGGCCGCCCGCCCCACGGCACGCCAGTCCGCGGGCCAGGGACATTGCTCTCCGCCTGCCCGCGCGCTGCCAGCCCGCCCTGAGAGCTAATGGAGTCTCCGGAGGGACGCTGACACCGGCGGCGCGGCGGCGGCGGCGGCGGCGGCGGCGACGGGCC